CGCGACACCAATTGATTTAAAATCAAATAGCACTGATGCAGCGGATGATTGATGTTTGTGATCGTCACGCCCCAGCTTCCTGGGAGCCCGCGTGAACGGGTTTAATCATAAGTTTTTTTTTCATTTCGCGAGTCACCGATATATTTTTTTCCCTACCTATTTGCTGGTAGACTAAGAGGCTATTTCAGCTACGCCCGGACGGATAGGTGAGCTCACGGGCTCAACCTGAGAGAATTTGCTAACACTAGCCCTAGCGAGAGCAGCACTTCTCAGAATCCACCATCAGATTGGAATCGCGACCCACTGAGAAAATCTGGCGAGAAACTCAGTGGGCTGTATCTATGGGTTAGTTCGCTCATCAAACACTAAAAGCTTCTCAGCGGCTTTACCGCGGTTTGTAGTCAGTACTAAGTATCGTTCAATATAATCTTTAACGAAAATTTGTAGGTCTCTTGAAACTGAAGATGTTTTTTTTTTATGATTGAGCTATTACTGGTGGCCCGGAGGCCTTTCTAGTTTCACTGCGACAGGTGGGCGAATAAAGGCTCAGCCAGGATTGGTGGGACTTGAGAACAGCCGCCCGAGCGCCTCCGAAGGAGACCTAACAACTCAAGCAAATGAATCTACTACCGGATCGAAATCGCGACCCGCTGAGAAGATCCGGCGAGAAACTCAGCGGGCTGATGCATAGGTTAGGTTGCACGTCGACCTCTTTGCCGAGTTTGACGAGTACGGCTACCAAACTGCAAATGTAATTGAATATCAATTGTCTCGTTTGATAAATGTAGCGGTGACATTGAGAATTGCTCAGAAGAAGATGTCGATTCTGAAGCATGTAGCAAAACAATATTCGTGAGCAAAATGTATTTATTATTGGTGATTATCTATCTTCAATTTACAATTGGTTCGTACGAAACATGTGATTAATAATACAATATACAAGATAGTGTACACTATATTCTTTCACAACTCATTTTAGAATTGTGTGTGTTGTTTTTTATAGTTGCAAATTCGATTTTTTTTTATTGCTTAGATGAGTAGACGAGCCCACAGCCCACATGGTGTTAAGTGGTTACTGGAGCCCATAGACATTTATAAAGTAAATGCACCACCCCACCCACCTTGAGATATAACTTCTAAGGTCTCAGTATAGTTACAACGGCTCCAATTTCTGTGCATTTAACTAATAAATTTGTTGGACGTAATAAATTCTGTAAAAAAAAAACTTACTGGTGGTAGGACCTCTTGTGAGTCCGCGCGGGTAGGTACCACCACCCTGCCTATTTCTGCCGTGAAGCAGTAATGCATTTCGGTTTGAAGGGTGGGGCAGCCTTTGTAACTATACTGAGATCTTAGAACTTATATCTCAGGGTGGGTGGCGCATTTACGTCGTAGATGTCTATGGGCTCCAGTAACCACTTAACACCAGGTGGGCTGTGAGCTCATCCACTCATCTAAGCAATAAAAAAATAAAATAAAAAAACTCCTTTGATTTTCCCCCGAATTCGCTTCGAAATTTTATAGGACTTAATAAATAATGTGCCCATAATTGACTATACAAACTTAACATGAAAGTGGTCATAAGTTAAAAAAATAATCACTTAAAACCATCGTTTAAAATGTTTAACACAAAAATAAGAGTAAAGATAACGTGGAATAAAAAAAAACATAACTACGAGAACGCATCAATAAAGTAAAGCGTCCCATTCCAGTCAGACAATACATAACTGCGACTATAAGCCGCGACGTAATGAGGAGTAACGGTCTGCGCGTGCATGGCCCGCGTAATGACGCGAAAGAGCCAAACGTATACACTCACCGTAAGCTGAAACGAGACGCAAGACATTCTGTTTCAACTCGGAATTTGGTTATGTATGCGAATGTACCTACACTCGTTGAATATATTTTTTGTTGTTTGATTTTTTATTGTTTTCGTGTATTTCGTTTGAAAAATACGTCGGTAATATCCATTGTATGTGAGTAAATAAGTATTAAAAAAAAACATATAGCTCAACTATATTAATCCATCTAAAATGCATTAAAATTAAACTAATTATTATGATAGCATTCCCAAAGCTATGGTATGATTGAATTATCACGTTATTAAATAAATGTATACATTAATACGGGAAGCAAAAACTTTGTATCCGTTTTTACGAAAATTGCGCGGACGGAGGAGTATGAAATTTTCCACACTTATGGAGGATATAGAGAAGAAGTGCACAATGCTAATATATTTTTTAAATAATGCATAAAAGATACCTTAAATAAATAAAGAAAACATTACACACACTACATACCATGTATTTGACGCACACACGCATGCATACTATTTATTGTCAAACTTTTGTTCTTGACGTCTGTTGTCAATTTGAGAATAGATTAAATATTGTTTGTCTTTGTTAATATTTTTTATAGTATAGTCTTGGCGAAATTTGTGATTAAAGAAGTATAAAATACAATCATAATAGTGTACAAACTTACAATTCCAATTAATTATAGTCGAATTTCGACTACTGCGGGACCTCTAGTAGCAATTAATTTACGATTCTCAGCATATACACGGAAGATATCCAAAAATTTTAGAATCGTTTTATTCCTGATATTATATATAGGTATTTTCAATTACTAAGTTTTATTACGGAGTTATACAGTTGCTTTGAATTAATGAAATGAAAATTATAAAGCGGTTTCCTGTGTTTTGTCTCTTTCGTTCCTGTTCGAAATCGAATGTCAACGTAAAGGACATAACATAATCTATTTATTTGTTCTAGGGCCTTTATTAGTGACGCCAAATGAACCAATTTATTATGGCAACTGTATATAATTTAAAAACGAAAATAATTTTTTATTTTTTATATAGGTATTTAATTCATTTATATTATTTATTTAACTATAATCTAAATCTGTGTGAAAGGGAATAAATGTTTTTATTTTATTTTTATTATTATAATCAGATGTTTGACGATATATCTTTAAGGCTGATCGGAATGATATAGTTTCAGCAACACATTCGCGTGCTGTATCAATTAATACACAAGCATTTCGGCTAATAGGCTAAGCTTTGAACAGACAGACAAACGAGATATCTTTTTTTGGTATGAACCACAATATTAGAAAAAAATTCATCTACCATCCGACTTTAAAGGAGTAGGTACTCTCCACGGTGCTCCCAGAGCGGGATGACATGTCCGTCTTCAAAACGAGATCTGCAAAGACTCTTGTCTCTTGTCTTGTCGTGTAGCTACTGCTGACCACTTACCATTAGACGGACGTACAACATTCTTACCAACCTTCGAGATAATTTAACGAGAATAAAACCTACAACGTAAATGAAAATCTGAAAATATGTTAAGAACGAAAGAAACCACCACTCAAAAATAATGTCTCGTTAGTCGAAGAGAAGTGAAAATCCTAACGCGAACGGCTATCCTTGCTGAATCCCACAAAACTCTCATTAACCGAGCTCTAATTAAAAACTAATTAAATCCGCAAGAGAAAAAGAGAACATTTAACTGATACTAATAAGATCGTCAAACAATTACGGGCGGCTCATCCGAAGACAAAGAGGTGCCTCTCCTGTCTCGCTCGCACCCGCCGCTCTGTCTATTTAACTTTTAATTTATACTCATTCCTTTATATCTTTTATTGCTTCGCCCATCGCGACTCCTAATGCGCCCGAGGTGCTCGCACTAATTAAATTCATGCAACACTAAGCTTTCCGAACTCCCTTTGAAGGAGGCCGCGCCGCCCTCGGGCCTCAGCCCCGACCAATGGGCGACCGTCGGCGGTGAGATCAGAGCCGAGGGGCGGCCCTCCGCACTCAGTACCAGATCCCTGATAGAGCTGTCATGCCGCGTCCGACCGGTCCTTACGCTCTCTCACGACATATTTTATTATTATTTATGTCAATTACGTTATTACTTTTTTTTTTTTTTCATTTAATGGAATAAGGAATTGCTCGTGAAATTGATTGCCTTTCGGTCGCTTATGATTCATCAACGTCAAAAAATATACGTTAAGAAACGTGTTAATTCTTTATGATTGATAGTTTTGTCTGTCATTAGGCGGACGTCCCCGTAATCTAGTTTTACGTAACACTATTGTACGTGGATAATGACCGCCTTTCACGTTATGTACGTTTGACGTAGATTACCCGTCCGTCAGTGTATCAGCTGTCAAAAGTATGGCCGCCATTTTTAAATTAAACGTCAACTTCTAATTAGATGCATCCTTTATGATATAACTAATAAAGCATTACTTATTTATTTGAGTTAATGGTATAAAAATGAAGTATGTGGGAGATTAGGGAAACATTAATTGTGACTCGCAAAATAAAACGTCAACATTCAATATTAGGTTTTGTAGATAGATGCTTTATTACGATTAACTTCTTCTTAGATTGAATCTTGTTATACAAAATTCAACTGAAGCTAATCCGCAATAAAGCTTAATTCAGTAGGTACGGAACTACAGCTATTTTTTTTCTATAGGTAGGTCACATACCGGTTTCATAATTTGAAGGTGTCAAATAAATACATGTATGTTTACATTAGATACAGTGACATATTGAAGAATCTTTCAACTGTATCTACCTATATGTACTCTCACAACGCCATGCGGCTAAAAAAGATTATGAAAACCCCACAAGCCTGCACAAACATATAGGAAACCTATAAATCCAAAGTCGGTTAAGACTGTACAGAAAAATAGGCTCAGTCCCTACGACACAGAGCTCGCTTTCAATCGAGATCGCTTGTCGTCTGCGGCACAGTTAATTCAATGCATGTCTGCCCTTAATTTACAACCCGTTATTCAATACAGATCTGTAACTTTGCGGCATAAGGTTCGAAAGCGTTTAGCAGCCGTGGGCGATGTACCGTCGGAAGAATAAATCTATAATATGAAGGAGGCGGAGAATTAATTTGTGGTCGGGTGGGGGACCGGGGGCCGACGCTCCGCCCAGCGGCCGGCGCGCCATCTCAGTGCCGGGCCTGGCGCGTCACGAGGCGACCACACTCATGCACCCGCGGCAGACTGCGAACCGTATGTAAACGTGCCGATCATCCGGACTCACAGTGACATGAACATAAATCAGTGCTGGTGATTATTATTATTTATTTTTGTATTCGCAATAATAAATAAACCTTTGCCGTTTTTTGTCGTGAATAGAAAAAAAAAAAACATTTCCTCGCATATGTTTGCACCGAAAATGACAATCGAGAATGTTAGATTGTATCATCAATAATAAATAACCCTTTGCCGATTTTTTTTGGTGAATAGAAAAAAAAATTGAAAAAAAATAAAACATTTCGTCGCGTATGTACGTACGTATGTATGCACCGAAAATGACAATCGAGAATGTTAGAAGCGCAGTGCTCCGTCGGTGAGCGGTGTGCTGGCTTCCGCGCTATCGGCAGTCAAGATATCGAAGGGCGCGCGGGTCGGCGGCGGCGGCGGCATGGTGCTAGAGGGCGGGCTGCCGGCGCCGCTACAACTGTATGCGGCGGCCGCGGCGCAGCTCGCTCCCCGACCGCCTTGGCCACCCTTCCTACCCTTTTTCGGTGTACCTCCACCGTTCCTGGCAAGACCAAGACTACCACATCCGCTACCTACAAGAGCTCCACACGGACCGCCCAGCGAAGACTCCAACGAGGACGGAGGAAGCAGTAAAGGTGTGTGATAAATTATTTATCTGCAGCTTATTAAGAATTTAGGGGGCACGTTAACTTTAATCGATTTAGGCCTCAACAAAAATTATTTCAATTGTAATGTGTTAATTTCAAGCACTCGTTCTAATTTTCTTAATTAGATTAACTAAATTAATTAATTAATTTACAATCCAATTTTTGTATTAAAAAAATATAAAAACATCTCTCAATATTAATCAGTTGACAACAGAATAAAACTTCCGTAGCGCATAGCATTTTAGCGTTAGGTAAGTAGTTGTTGTGGGGCCGTTTGCTTTGACAACGATAAAAAGTGAATTCGAACGGCAAACGGCTCATTCTGACTTTTTGTTGTCGACAAAGCGCCGAAAATGATTAAATCGAAAATAAATCACGATTAAATTGAATAAAATCGGCCACAGAACTGCGGTCCCGTTCGGCGGATTAATAGAAATCGCCAAAAAAAAAAACACCGTAAAAAATCGTTCGCTTCACGGTTTCTTAACAAATTTGGTTATTTAGATTTTGCAAAGGTATCCGGTTGCGAAGAGACGAGCCGGCCTTGAGATATTAAAAAGGTTTTGTGTATCGGCGATCTGTGAATTATGAAATCGATTCCTAGAGTTCTTTCGCAATTAAAAAAAAAAAACATAAATTCAAACTATTGTGTTGTGTACACGCGATCCTAATTTCATTTAATTACGTTGTAGTTTATGCCTTCAATTAATTTTCTTCGATGACTGAAAATTAAGCACTTGTCTCAAACTATAAATATCAATTGTATCTGTCTTAAATATTGTCAATGTTTTATAATTACAAAATACGGTTTCAGTTGAAAGTTGTTTTTCGAAAAAAAATATGGCGTTATTTTCCGACGGGAACATATCAAGCAAGGTTACTACTGCACCAATACACTATTACAATAAATACATACTACATAACTATTTTCTAATAGAAGTACTATTATTAATAGATTCAATGCATAAATAAATTACTACATGCGAAAATGTCAATTCATTGTATTTGTCGTAGAAACTATATACATATTTATATATTTGAAACGCGGCTTTTTTTACTTTTCTAATAAAAAAAATTGCTGTGAAAAATAGACAGACCGTTTCAGGAAGCCTCAGTCACCTCATTAAAATAGATAGAATAGAAGACTATTAATAATAGAAATAATAAGAACACAATTTTTTTTTTTTAAATAATGGCCATGTTTGTTTCTTTTTCTTTTATGATTTCGCGCGATATTTACTGTGGCGATTTTTATTCAATAGCAACACACACAAACCAGTGTTGTACTTTTAAAAATGCAAAGTCATAGTACGGTACATACCTGCTCTATTAAAAATGCATAGACTAGTTTAAAGATTTGAATCAGATAGTTTTTAATTTTGTTATAAATTTAAAATATGAATGGCAATGTTCGATTTTCAGTTATAAATTTAAGCCAGTAAATCGCAAACCCGTTTCGAAGCACAATTGTTGCAGTTTGTTGCCAACTACATAAAGTGCTTATTAATAAATGAATTATATACAAAAAGTATGAGAAAATCTCACATATAAATATTGTAATTATAAAAAATTAGTTTCCAATTACAGCTTCGCTTATTCATTTATCGGAATGTGAGAATAAAAAGGTTTTCTTTACGACGTAATAGATGACTTATTACGTGATTGTATGTTAATGTTTTTCCGGTCGAATGAGCGAACGCGGTATGTATGTATGTGGTTCGCAATATAAGAATTGCCCGCTGATTTTCTTGCCTGATCTTCTCAGCGGGTCGCAATTCCGATCCGGTAGTAGATTCATTCGCGAAGCAATTGGTCTTGAGTTGTTAGGTCTCCTTCGGAGGCGCTCGGGCAGTTGTTAGCAAATTCCACCTCTTCTGGCTGAGCCTTTGCTCGCCCACTTGTCCTGGTGAAACTGGAAAGGCCTCCGGGCCTCCGGTAATCTTTCAATCATAGTTCAAGTATATATATACATATAAGAATAGACATCGACTAAGGTTCATCGGATCTTTTCAGTGGATCGCGATTCCGATCCGCTGGTAGATTTTGCAAAGCACTGCTCTTGCTAGGGCCAGTCTTAGCAAATTCTCTCAGGATGAGCTCATGAGCCCACCCGTCAGTCCACGAAAAGCTGGAATAGTCCCTTCGTCTACCAGCGAATAAGTAGGGAAACAAATAGGCATTTTTATAGGCATTATGACAGTGTTTTTTTTCAAATAAGCCGCGTAAATGCAAAATGCGATCGAGTCCAAGTTGATGACGAGTTACATTTGTCATTTGTAACAAAAATAATATTATGTAGTATAAAAACTTTTTTCCGTGTCAGATTAATCTTCGAAGAGTATGGAACGATTTTAATGGAACTTACTTGGATCTCTGATGCTATAAATAATTTCAGAAACTACTATTCTTATTTTATAAATAAATAAAAATGTTTCCACGTAAACAAATTGAAGCAATTATGAAAATAGTGAAATAAGCCCAATTCAAAAGGTGAAAATTTATTAATGTCCAACAAAGCAGTGATAAATCTTGGCCGGGTTAAGTTAATACTAAAATAATGCATGTGTATTAGTCGCTTAGGACACGCGCTGATAATGGTGTTCCAGGTAATAATTGTTAATATTTTTACATGCTTGTGTGCCTATTTAATGACTATTGTCCGATTTCGATCATTGTACGGACTCTAATATATGTAGTTACCTTACTGTAAATGTATTGTATTGAAGTCGTCGTGGCCTAAAGGATAAGACATCCGGTGCATTTTTACCGGTACCAATTTTTTCAATGAAATACGTACTTAACAAATGCTCGCGATTGACTTCAACGGTAAAGGAATAACATCTATACTAATTATTATTTCCTCTTTGTTTGTTTGTTTGTTTCGAATAGGCTCCGAAACTACTGGACCGATTTGAAAAATTCTTTTTCCATTAGAAGCCGACATTGTCCCTGATGAACATAGGCTACTTTTTTTTTTTTTTTTTGGTTTCATGTGTGTTTTAATGTTTCCGAAGCGAAGCGAGGGCGGGTCGCTAGTCGTGTAATAAAATCAAACCCGCAAAATTATATTTAATTTGCGTAATTACTGGTGGTAGGACGTCTTGTGAGCCCGCGTGGGTGGGTAGGTACCACCACCCTGCCTATTTCTGCCGTGAAGCAGTAATGCGTTTCGGTTTGAAGGGCAGGGCAGTTAAAAGTGAGACCCTTACAACTCATTTCTCAAGGTTGGTGGCAGCATTTACGTTGTAGATGTCTATGGGCTCCGGTAACCACTTAACATCAAGTGAGCCGTGAGCTAGTCCGCTCACTTAAGCAATAAAAAAAGGCAAAATTGATGAAATCTAAAACACAAAAAGGAAACAATTTGTAAACGTTTTTGTCTTTCAGTTATCAATCGCATCGGTCAACTCACAACCGTCGCTAAGTCACGACCGGTACAATTAAAAACAGTACTATAAAAGCATCGGTGCAGGATTAGCAATGCATTCAAAAAGTAACATAACCAAATAAAGTAATTCAAAAGTTAATGTTATTTCAGAGCTGATAGCTAAACAAAACGCTAATCAACCGATAAGTTTGATTAATCATCGTAATACATCAATAATGTAATATAAAAAAAAAAACTTATTAAAACATCGTATCGATTCATTTTCACTGTGATTCTAAACGAGTAATGAAATGATGACCATTCCTTCGTTCAAGCCCTACACATCCTTCTACTCGTAATATATCGCCATTGTAATATCGAACGTATTATTCCCGAAATATTCCCGAGTTCTCGTTTGAATAAATTATGTATTAATAAAAAAATAAACGTCGGGTAAGGTGCTAAGAGGATAACGAGCGTAATCCAAATGTAAGTTCGAAAATGCGCGGGAAGGTCGCCCGCTGTGCGCGGACTCTGCTCCGCTGTCTATAATACAGATTATATCGATTCTTTTGTCGGCACTAGCGCTGAGGTGTTACCCACGAAATTAGGATGTTAAATGTTTTGTAGATGACGCATGCTTCGATGCATCGAGCTCTTTGTGTTTTTCGTTTCGGTTTTATGATGCGTATTTCTACTTCGTTTTTTTTTTTCCTTTTTTTTTTCAATCATAATAGATATATCAATAGTCGTTTTTTTTTTTTTTTTTTTGAGAGNTTTTTTTTTTTTTTTTTTCGAGAGCTATAAATTACAATGGTAATGTGTTAAGTTATTATTTATACAAACTAGTTCCTCGGGTCGTACGCCTCTGCAGCGGGACCGATAGATGTAACAATTCTAGGGTTTTTTTTTTATAAATAAATTGATTTTCGTAAATCTTTGTCGGATTGGCTTCGATTCTAAATTCGATTTGTTATTAATATCTTCGTGACATTATCCTTGGAATTGTTGTGAATTAGTACGTCAATAAGTGAGTGCTCTTCAAACAGTCAACGTCCTGATTACAATATTAACACATACATTATTTATGTTAATGATTAATTTGTTGAATACGTCTATCGAGAGCTAATTAAATCATTCATTGACTGATACGTGTTTTCCAGTAAACACGTATTTGTAGAATTTTCTTATCAAACCAGCGACATAGAATAATTATTATTTTCAATTTCTTAATATATTTAATACTCGTTGGATTACTTGTCGCGTTATGTTAGTAATTAAATAAATAAAAAATGAGTTGACATACATACCGCTTTTAAGTAGGTAAGCTGTGTAAAAAAATACAAACCATATTTTCCGCAGTCATACAATTAGGCACCATAGTGAATAGAAATAAAAAATTATAAAAAAACACTTACTACAAATATGAATCTTTAAAATAACAAATAATCACGTTAAAACAAAAAAGGTCAGCGTTACGCAATACTCAAAACCACTTGTCAAGCCAAACGAAACATTAGCAAGGTCCAATTTAGTTTAAAAAAAAAAAAGAAAAAAGCAAAAAAAAAATGGCGAAGATATTCAAATTTGGAAAGCGGGTAGCGACTGTGACCGTCCGAGT